TTATTGTATAGACTGCTAAGCTAAACCAACATATATATTTTAAAGGTATCTTGACTTCAAAGATTGAGTTTAAGGATGTGTTACTTTGGAAAAGATATTCTGCTTTTTTTCCCCCTCAGAAAATGAGAGACTATGGATTCCTTCTAGGCTAATATAGTTTGATGGAACAAAATCCCCCCTCCCCCTTAAGGTCTCCATGAACCCTAAACCTATCTTACTCAATAAACAGCAGGAAGCAGTTTGGAGAAAACAATGCCCCAATTACCAAAATAATTGTTTAAAATGTTTGCTTTCATTTAAAGGGGATATGAGATATAGAGATGAATATTTTACATTGACATGGACTTTGGTCTATTGATACAAATTTAAGTTACAATGTGTATATACATTTCTATTCTTGTTTAAGGTATTGTGTTTGTGCAGTTTATTTAAAAATGTAATGTATAATTAAAAATAAAGATTAATAGTTATTTAAAATAGTCAAACTTGTAGTCATGTTCGTAAGGTTTTCTAGATGTACAGAGACATATATCAGATAAATAGGTGTTCTTCAAACCTTTCAAAGACTTACAAAATATGACATTTAAATGTTTTAAGAACTTAGACTTTTCTCAACAGTGAGACACATCTGCTTCTGGCAGCATCAGTTACTTCAAAAAGATTATGGGCATTGAAGAGACTCCCTATGGAGTTACTAGCCATTTGGACAATAAACCACTTTTACCTGGACTGCTTAATGGTATAATGTATGAACTGAACACACAGGACCCACCTCCGTGACACTTCTTTTGCTAGCTGTAAAATAATAGCAGGTATGTCCACACAGCTATTATGAGGATGCAGTGGAAGAACAAAGGCAAAAATACCTCGTGTTGGGTTTGGCAGAATTTGGACTCAATGAAGCGTCATCATCATGCTTCTAACCAGGCCTCTAGTCAGTGCTCTCAAAGTAAGGCTTGTGTTTTGCTCTGATGCCTTAGCATGAGTGAGTGTGTTTTAGACACATTAGCATAAAAGTCTAGAAGTAAATCCTCATGACGATTTAGGGCGCCTCTGATGGAGGTATATGAGATTTGTTCCATTAATTCTGATGAATCTGTTCCAGAAAAGATTGATGGAGCACAGATTCTTCCTTTTAAAATGTCCTGCCAGTTGTGTAATCGTGCTTTATTTGAGGGCCTCACAGAAGCGAGGCCATCTCTTTGGAAACAGCTTTACACATTTCCTATCCCCTGTTCCTGAAGCCAGTAGAGACCACACTGAAAATTCATACTGCCTTCCATGCTGAAGCAGATAGCATGCCTGCTGGACAACCGCATCAAAGCCCAAAGGACATAGTGCATACAGTAATGAGCTGGAGTTACCTAGAATAGTCAGGACTTACAGCACTTGCCAGTTTCCAAGGCATAAATACTGCCATGGAGGGCTGACTTCAAGCTAGAAACACAGTATCACTGAAGGCAGAGCTAGGAAAAAGTACATAATAGCCCAGTAAGCCATGACACATGTATAACCCATATAAAAATCCTCCATGAATATAGATAATGGAAAAATGTAATAAAATGATTACAGTAATGAGTTTTATGTATTTACTACCTTTGTCTTAATATCATTTATTTAATTACAAAGGCATATAATTTAATTTTTAATAATAAAAATACTTTGTGAAACTCCCTAAAAATTAATAACCAGTTCGTACTGCATAAGCATGCCATTGGCAAGACTTCTCATGAAATTCCTTTCTTGTGATTGTAAAAATTGAAGAGGGATATTGTGGAGGCAAATAAGAAAGCAACTTATAGATACATTTTATTATCAATGAGACGCTCTACTAGCACGGGTTATGTGTCTTATAAATGACCCAGAGAATCAATGCTTAGGCTTAACCTTTCTGTTATCCTTCAGTCTGCACGGAGAGGGGCTCTGCATCTCCTAGTGTCTGAGGTATGCACTGAAGTAATTTCCACTTTGGAAACTAAACTCACTTGCTCACTCTTTTACAAATGGGTCACCAATTTCACAATATAAAAGGAAGTTGGCAATGTTGACACAATGTATTTCATAAGCACTATTTATTACATCATGATAAATGCCCCCATAGACTTGTATGCCATTTTCTTCTGAGTACCAACGAGTTCACTTGAACAGTGACGTTTATTTTTCAATTTTCTTGTATCTTCACCATCTGCCAATTTTAGGTGCTTGGAGGGTACCTAGTTATCAATGTATGCTTATTAGAAATATGATGGATTTTTAATTTACTTAAATAATTAGTTCATTTTCCTTTCTTGTTCTATCTTCAATGTCTCTTAGTTATAATAAAACTATATATGTATATATATATATATATATATACACTTACACACACACACACACACACACACACACACACATATATATGTATGTATGTATCTTTAAATAGCATTACTACTGCTGCTTCAGTGTCTCTGATTATCCAGAAGCAAGAACAGAGTAGTAAAATTAGCAAATGTATGTTTTTGAAGTTTCATTAAGTGACCTTTGTTTCTATATTATGCTATAATGTGCGGGTAGAATGCAGACAATGTATGTTTTTCCATATCACATTCCCACAGAAGGATGCAAGTGCCAGGACCCTATCTATAAGGTCATCGTTCATAGACTAAGCACAAATGTGATCAATCAAGTCTTTCCAACAGAGCAATAGCCAGTGTGACCTCAACAGACTTTGGCTTTTGGAGCCAGATCGCTTTAGTGACAGACATAACCCTGGTGGGTCGGCAGCATCCTTCACTGCTCAGTCTGCCATCTGCCACTGTGGAAACTTCATCATTAAAGCAGAGTTGCTTTTGAGAGCATTATTATTGCACAGAATGTTACCATCTGTAAGTAGGCAAATCTGAACCACAATGTATATCTACCTAACTTTCCTTCTCTGTGTATATCTTAATGAAAAATGTGCATGCATCAGTCTAAAAACTAGGAACATTTCCTCTTGTATTATGGAATTATTTCCTTCCAAAAGGCCTCCAGTGTATAATCTCCTCCCTTTAAATATGGCTACATTTAGACCATCACATAAAAAAGTTTCATTTTATTTCACATTTACTGTTCTTATTCACAAAGCATTTTTAGCTATGTGATATTATTCATTTATATATTTTATTATTTATCTTTATATATTATATATATTTTCATATATATA